CTTCACCGCGTTATCACTACGCCGCTTCAACCACTTCACCGCGTTATCACTACGCCGCTTCAACCACTTCACCGCGTTACCACTACACCGCTTCAACCACTTCACCGCGTTATCACTACGCCGCTGCGTCATTTGACCGCTTCTTTCCCCCTGTAGAATGTGCCCTTGATCGGGGAGGACGGGCTGACCCCGGCGAAGGAGCACGTGGAGAAGGTGATGCAGGATCTGCGCGACGAAGGCATGTGGGAAAAATTTAAAAAGTTTCACTCCCTCTTCTGGTTCCTGCCAGCGAGTGATTCTGTCCTGACGACGTTACCCCTAGTAGGTATGGCTCTGTCCCTGTTCGCCGTGCTGCTTAACCAAATCAACATACTAACGGTGCTGCCGATTTACTTAATTCTTCAGTCTATTTATAGCGTGGGGAATGTCTGGTATAACTGTGTATTCGAGATAGAGCTGCTTGAACTCGTTTTTTTAACTCTGCTTATGGTTCCCCTGTGGAGCAATCACCTTAAGAGGAGATTCTCAAGTACCCCTTTTGTAAGGTACGTGTGTCGTTTCTTCGTCTTTAAGGTATTGCTTGGGTCTAGCTTAATACGATTCAGGAACACAGACTTGTGGGGGCACTTGGAAGGAAAATATTATTTATATGAAACACAACCGTTACCATCAAGCATAGGATATATATTGCATGAACATATGTTCATAAGTAAATTGGATAATCTCTTTTGCATCTTAACAGAGTGTGTCTTTTCCTTTTTCATTCTTTTTCCTGTGAGATCATTTCGGCTCATTGGTGGTGTGTTGATTCTTCTTTATTGCTTATTAAATTTTCTTAGTGGAAATTCTTACCTGTTTTATGTTTTGCTTGTGGCTCCATTAATGTTTTGTTTCGATGATGAGGTTCTTCTTCCTTTTGTGTTGAGGACCACGAGGAATGAAGTGCTCTCTGTGGTTAGGGACAAGGTTGCACAGCTAGCCAAGAGCAAGGGGTACTTCCGCAGCTTTGACATCCTCTTCTGCACAGGGTTCAGTGTGGAAGAAGTGAATAAAATGAAGGACGCATATTTCAGGATCGACTCAGATGGGGTAGAGGAAAAAAATGGACTTAGCGGGGGGGGAAGTGCATGGGGGGGAGGAGTAGGAGTAGGAGGAGGAATGGGATGGAGTGGAGAAGGACGTTGGAGTGGGGGCATGGGATGGACTGGACGGAGTAACACACGAGGAGGAGGAGGAGGACTGCAAGGGGAAAAGGAACATCTCCTGACCAGGGCAACATCCAGCCAAGAAACGAACTTTTATTCAGAAGAAAGCTACATGGAGTGTATTAAAAAGGATATACTTAATGCACTTTATTGGACCTTCTCACAAAAAGGGCCGCAATATATACTTAATAATTATAACACTTCAAGAGAGCTGATCATTCATGTTTTTTGTGCCTTCTTCATGATTATATATAACAGTTGTGTACACATTACATACTCTACTAGAGAGTCCATTTTCCTTTTCTTTATATATGTGTCCTTTTTCCTTGTTCATATGATTTATCTTTTTTTTTTTACAAAAAATATTTTTCCTTGTTTGGTTAGCCAAGTGGGACTTTTGCTGAGTGTTTCGCTCATTTATACAAATTATATTTTCATGAATGGTTTTTCAAATATATATTTTACTACTTTATTTTTCCTCCACCTCTTTTCATTACTCTCTGTTTCTGTGTGTCACTTGAGCAATCAACGGTTTGTACTCAAATGTCTTGGTCAGTATTTTTACTTTATTCTTTTTTTGTATTTCTTGTGTTTCTTCGTACAAAATGTCTTGTCCCCACAGCAGGTCATGAATGCAGAATATGGAAACTTCCAGCAGATGAATGTTTATGGGTCCTTTGGCCATATTAATAAAATAAGAAGAGAGATCATTGTGAAGGCTACTCCTCCCTCTAACATGTCTTCTTCTCTTGTGACACAGTCAGGGGAAGAACAAATCAACTCTGCATGGAATAATTATGAATTTAATTGCAAGCCAGACAATGTTGAAAAAACCTTGTGCACACAGTTTAGAATGCTTTATGGCTTTCTCCCCGTCTTGTATGTGGATCGACTCGATTGGCAGTTCAACCAACTCAGTTACAATGATGATAAGAGTATTGTACAGACTCCGTGGTTTCAAAAATTTTTGCAGAAACTTTCACACAATGATGAAGATCTCCTTTCCCTCTTGTATAAAACCCCTTCTTTTGTTACCCCCCCTGGTGGGACGAACTCCACCAAGACGAGTCCAATCCATTTAACTGTCTCCAGTGAGGTATATAAGTTTTCTCCACAGGAGGAAAAGGATGCTTGGTGGGACGTGGTCTCCTCAAGGGTCATCATTGAACTCCAGGGCCACCACACAACAAGCAGTGCGCATAGTTACATTGGCACACAGAATGGGGTGGACCGTACAGACGAACACAACAGACTGTTACATGTGGGAAGCTCTCCTCTCATTGAGCTTGGGAACAGATTCATATCGCCAGCTAACCATTATTTCTACACCGAGGGAGACACTTCAGCGGAAGCCATCTCCGGGGGAGATATGATGGAGAGGGACAACATGAGGAAGAAGCGTTTATTTGCGCAACAGGGGCGACTTCACGTGGACGAAGCCGCAGAGACAGAACGAGACTCAGTGAGCAGGAAGATACGCACGCAGGAAAAAAACAAATATGCAGAACAGAAAAAAAAATTCTTTAGGCAAAAACAAATGCACGAATGGAAGAGAGAGGCGCAGGAAGGGGACTCAGTGGAGGACGAACATATGATGGACGGTGTGCACAGCACGGGAAGGGAAGACGAAGAGGTAACGTCCTCACACGGTGTGTTACATGGCGAGTCACACGGCGCGTCACACCTGGCAGACGGAGGGGTCATGGACGCGCAAGACCTCGTTGACGGAACTGATCAAGATGAGGCGGCAGTGGATGACCCAGACAACGCGATCGACGGGGAAAACCTCTTTTCCGCAGTGAAGAAGATGGAGGCGGCGCGGGACAAGGAAAATGAGGAGGAAGAACAAGGAAGCAAGTACGAAATGGGGGTCGAGGTGAAACGGAAAACAAGTCCTAACAAACATCATCTCCCCCCTATTACGTCGCCAAAAGGGGTACTCTCCGTGGATGGTGACATACAAAAGGAGATGGATGAGGCCATTCGAAATTCTTACAAGCAATATGGACTGCTTAATAATTTTTCTCGTAAAATTACAAAGTTGGGTTTAGCCAACAGTGACCAGGGGAGAAGTCGGTACGGCGAGATTAAGGAGTTGCTTGCCAATAGTCCACGGGGTGGACACCCACAGGAGGACTCTTCTGCGTAACTATACACGTTTATATGTCCACGTGTGTAAACCTATTTTTTGTGTGCTGACGACTTCCCCGCGTAGCTAGCTTTTTTTTTTTTTTTTTTTTTTTTTTTTTTTTTTTTTTTTTTTGGGCTAGCTCCCACTAGCCCTGCGTTCAAACCGTTACAACGTTACCACTTTGCAACTGTGCTCGCACATGTGTGTACAGGAGGGAAGGATACTCCCTATATGAATAACCCGCATGACTATGTCCCTTTCTCAATCGCTTCTTTGTGAGCTCCCATAATTTAAAAACGTACTGGTTAAAATGGCAAACTTCGTGACAAATTTCCCCCCCCAATACGAGGGCAGACAAAAAAATCCCGGGGGGGACATTGCAACACACACATGTAGAGAATTAAAAAAAAAAAAAACTTCATGGTGATAACAACGACAGGGAGTACACCACACTTGAGTGGCAACACGAAAAAAAAAATTTCTGTGCGCGAACTCTTCTCCAGCTCCTCATCCTTTCTCCTCCCCGTGCTGAGACTTCAAAAGTTCCCTCTGCTTCCGCCGGTACTCATTGTTATAGGAGTGCACTTGGTTCTTCTCTTTGTCCACATTGAGGTAGCACAGGCTAAGGGCAGACAGGCCCAGCGGGATGGACGTTCCTATGGGGTGCACGCAGTTATGGAGATGAGGTCAGAAAAACACTTAGTGTAGGCCCCACAATGTGCAGGCCAGGGGGTGACAAGCAAACGCTTGACCCTTTCACCAGCATGCTAACCACAAATGAGTTGAAGCAGTCACTCTCTCCTGCGGCACTACTTACACAAATTTGCAAAAAAAACAAAACAAAATGATTGTTTTTTATTATTTTTTTTTTTTTTCTCACCTAGGATGATGAAGGCGGCCCAGTTAATGACCTTCCTCATTTTATTTCTTTTCCTTTTTTTTTTTTTTTTCCCCCTTTTTATAACTGTACAGGTACCTTTTCGAGCCTTATGCGAGTTGTGATTCTTCCACCACACATTTTACGAACGCCCCTTTTTGTGCTTTTACATTGCTGGGAGAATCACTTAGAAAAAAAAAAAAAAAAAAAAAAAAGGCAAACATGTGAACCGGTGAACAACGCACATAAGTAACGACATTCCCGAATCGGCTGTAAACGGTGCGCTCCTAAATTGAACGTGACACAAAAAAAGTCGTTGCTCCCTAAGCGGATGGGATGGAGAACGGGGAGGCTTTCCCCCTACGTATTTGTCACATTCAACAGGTCCAAGTTGGTCATCCTGATAGTTGCTGTAAGAGGCATACCCTGCATCCCCAGGAGGGGTCATATTAAAAATATCACTTGTGGACCCCCACCGCCCCTCTGGCTGAAGTTGCGGTAAAATATAACCCCTTCTTTGACGCGCATACCTCCTGAGTGTTTCAATTTTTACACTCCTTTTTGTCACACTGTACAAAGATATAAGTAGCTAACTGCTTTTAATTTTGTTAAGCGTTCGGTGAGTTATCACTTTTGGAGTGTATATTTACATGCACGTCGCCATAACGAGCAGACAAAAAAAAAGAAAAAAAAAAAAGGGAGGAAAAGAAGGCATGGAAGGAAGAATACGCATAACCAACGCTGTGGTTACGACGCTCTGAGAAGTAATTGCGTTCGAGCAACACCTGTAATTTGGGGAGAGGTATAACTCAAGGTGCCACGTGTGCAAGTAACGTTTTGCATAATAGGAGAAAAAATTATTTTTTGGCAACTTGATGAAGACGCCAAAGTGGAACGGGACAAAAAAAAAAAAAAAGGTGAAGTGATTAGCTCGCCGATCTGCTCGACTTTTTATTTTTTATTTTTCATTTTTGGTTGCTCGAGGTGTTGATTTTGGAGTACAGCAGCGAGTCCTTCGTCTGTAGGGGGGGAGAATAACAAAAAATATATATATAAAAATAACAAAATAAGCACATGCATAAACACAAAAAGGGATAGGTGAACATATGGGAGTGACCAGCCGCATGGACGAACGGCGAGGTGACTACCCCCCCTGTTCACCACTCAGGGTGCACAACATCACTCGAAAGTGCTCTCTTCTCTTCCGCTCCGTACGTTGGCGATTTGGAAGGTGGCGTAGGTCCCCAGGATAAAAGCCGTGATTAGCGTCAGTACCATCCTGTGGTTGGGTAAGGAGGACAAAAAAAAAAATAAATAAATAAATAATAAGGACAGTGGAAAGGTGAGCAACCATGCATACAAGTTTGCCATCGTTGGTTGGTTCGCCACTGATGGGGTGAGGCCTTCTCCCCTTGTAATCCGCAAACCAGTGGACCGACTACAAACAACCAAAAGTGCGATGAAAGGCCCACTGGGATGCAGACAAAGATGTGTGTTTACCATAAAGTCACATGGAACTGAACGTTCGCCTGATTCTCATCGTACACTACGCCCGTCTGTTAAAAGGAAAAAAAAAAAATAAATACATAAATATAAGAGAGGGGGAGGAAAAACAGAATGAAAGCGTTCACCAGTTCACCACAGCGTAGTAACTTCTCTTCATCACGACGTTTGCAATTTTGTCATATATTCGTTGTTCAAGCGTTTGTTTCCCGCTCGGCCACACGTCCCGAAGTATGACATTTCATCCCTTTCGTGGCCTTACCTGTGCTGCGGCAAAGTACAGGCTGAGCACAGCGCTTAAAAGGGCAAAAAGCTTCATTTTCCACAGTCAGGCAAAATAAAAAAAAACAATAACAAAGCGTGTTTTCTTCCCGCGCTTCGTAGTCAGTGGGATTTCGTGCAGCTACTTCTGCAAATGCTTTCATTCCAGTGTAGGACGTGCGCCTGTGCGCCTTTTATATTAATGCTTCCCCTTATTTATATATATCTGTTTCCCTCTGTTCCTTTTTTTGCTGCTCGCGTTTTTTATTTTTGCTTATCCGCAGGGCTGGCCATGCTGCGCGTAAAATGCGTCAATCCGTCATTCCATCAATCAGTTTATTTTTCTTATTTTGACACATTTGTCACTTGTTTATGTTTATATTTTTTTTTTTTTTTTGAAGAACATAATTTAGCTAGTTCTTCATATTTTTTTTTTTTTTTTTTTTTTTTTCCACCCAATTGGGCCCATTTTTTTTATTTTTTTTTCTTTTCTTTTCACGTGCGCAATTTGGCTAGTTGTTCATATATGTATGTTTTTTTTTTTTATTCTCCTCGTTATTTTCCCCCTTTTATTGCCTTGGAATTGAACATATGGGGGGGAAAACGAGAACTGAAAAAAAAGAGTACTATCATCCGCTCGACGCGGAAAAGTTGGAACAAAACAAAATTAATCACTTTTCCATCCCATTTTTGTCTTCCGAGAGAGACATATAGAAGAGATCACACGAGAGAGTGGCCCTCTTTTAGTAAGCGCGACAAATTAAGGCCAAATTGAGTCCAAATTGTGTGGCTCCCCCGCTTGCTTGTGTGCAACGAGGAAGAGTCGTATCAGTGGGAAGAAATAATGGACACGTGGGTCTCCCACTCTTCATTCCGCCTCTCATGGGGGGACAAAATCAAACAAACGCTCATTTTCGTGTATGACCAACTGTGCGTTGAAAAGCATCACGCGGCAGCGTTTTGACTTCCTACCACGGTTGCCACTTATGGGTAGGCCTTTACAAATTACAAAAAAAGAAAAAAAGCAAAGAACAAGGGTAGCGCGCCGCTGTAACACTTTTCCCCCATTCGTATCTTCACCCGTAGGTGTGACAAAATGGATGTCTCCATGGAGACACTGCACGAACTAAAGTGACGTTGATGGAGATCGTTTTAATATCCACTCGTCTTTTCGTGAGCTCCCCCCATTTGTCATGATCAGAGGTGTGTACCCGCTTGACGAAAAACAGTGTGAGTGAGCATCAACAGTTAGAACTTCTCCTCCACATATAACCCCACCTCCATAAGCGAGCGCATGGGTTAAAGGATATTTTGTAAAAGAGAGGGGGGGAAGAGGTTGAAAGGGGATGATGTTCTCCTTTCACACCGTTAGCAGTTTCCACCTCATTTGGTGATAGTCATAAAAACGGGGGCTCACACAAATTAAACCACTGAGTGATGATCCCCACAGCACACCAATAAAGAAAAGAAAAAAAAAACTCATTCTCCCCGCTTACCCCCTTGTGGTTCACTTGGTCCTTTTTTGTGCTTACACGGATGGTTCACGTAACGAGTGAAATATATGCACATCGTCTGCCCGTTCTCCTGTTTAAGTAAACGCACATGTGGTTAGGTGCAAACGCTACATTGGGGCTGGCTACGAAGGTGATGATCGTGCCGATGAAAAGTTGCCATCTCTGTTTTGATGTCACCTAGTCGACATGACACATCGACTTGACCCCTGTGGCGGGGCAGTGCATTCCCATGATGGGATAGCGTGCCGGTCACGAGTTCTACAAACGTGTGTAAGAATAATTGGGACAACGCGTAGGTGTTGCGTGATAATAACCATGTGGGGATGGAGATGCATTGGCCAAAACCTACGTGGGTTGGCAAGCAATCACTTGAGCGAAAAAAAAAAAAAAACGGGTAATGTATAAAATGGTAATGACGCCAAGTACACTATTGTAACGCGGCTACTTTTTTTTTTTTTTTTTATGGTGAGCCTTTTCCCTCACGCACGTCGCTCCTCCAGTGCACTACCCCTTAGTTGTGCAAAAAAGAAAAAAAAAAAAAAAAAAATGTTTTCATTTGCCCATGTGTTATGGAACATTATGGAAGAAGTGGGCTCAGCACATTTGAAGAGAGAGAAGTGTGGGAGAAATATCTTCACTGGGGAAGGAGTCCACTTGAGAGAATACGAAAAGGGGGAGATGTGCGCTTCTGTTCGCAGGGCACACGAGCATATTTTAACCTGGATTGACTAGCACGTGGCCTCTACAACGTTGCGGCGTAAAAAGGCGTCACATGGGTATCGAGGGGCAGCGTGCACACGTTTGGGGAGAGAAGAGGAGTACTGCTATATAAACAAATTCCTAGGTGCAAAAAAAAAAAAAAAAATAATAAAATAAAATAAATAAAAAATAAATAAAAATACATCAAGTTGCACCTACACTTCGTTTATACACTTCAATTTTATAAAATTAAAATCAGCTGAAAAATCAGCAAAGCGGTAAGGAAGCCAAGTAGCTAAAAAAGTATCTTTAAGTAGTTGACGAATCGAGTGAACCACTGAAAAGAAAAAAAAATCGTGAAGAGAAAAAAGGTGTACATCCAACAGCCGAAACGAGCGAATGAGCAAACTTTACGGCGCGTTAAAAGAGGAGAAGGATTATTCCCCCCCCCCTACCACACAGTGCCAGGAAAAAAGCTTTTGCAAATGAACGACGCGCAAAATGAAGTACGCAGCGTTTAGGAGCTCCATGAGGTAGGCCTCATTTCTCAACAATATGTTCACGTGAAAAAGGAAAGGGGAGGCAGATTGACTGAAGCGGCTTCCCCAAATGTGTTTATTACACAATTGTGTTTGCGCTTCGTCCATGCTGCTTCTTGGGCGCCGCTTCATCGACATCGCTTCCCCCCCCCCCCTGCAGGTTTGCTGCCAAATTTTGCGGCAACAACAACTACAAGCTCTACATCAACAGCGTGCCTCAGTTTTCCACCTTCGCTTATGGGAAGCACTTAAAAACGTGAGCCCATCTGGAGACAGAAGCGAACCGATACCATATATATATAGCTGCTACCGCCCCCCGTGACACTGACTTGGTTTACTCATGTTTGTCCTTCTACCCGAATGCATTCCCCACCGCAGCAACCCGCTTACGAACAGACTGGACGACCTGCTAAAAAGGAACTCCACCTTGATCAGCACAATTAGCATTAACGGACTGGATGACCTCATCACCCAGTCTTCCAAAATCGGTGAGTCCTTTTTGCATGATGTGATGCGGCAAAACGGCGAGTTGGCCATGCTTGTCACTGTACTACAGAGGTATATATATATATATACCCTTTTGGCGAGAGTGAACATGTGCATATATAATCACACACATGTATGAGTATGCACTTGTGTGTGTATGTAATGTGTTATCGTATGTAATGTGTTATCGTATGTAATGTGTTATCGTATATAATGTGTTATCGTATATAATGTGTTATCGTATGTAATGTGTTAACGTGTGTCTTTCTTCACTCATCAACTGTCCTGCTCCCCCGCCCCCCCTCTTCACACCAACAGAATCAATTTCAATGGCAGATTGGCTACTCAACCTCGTGGAAGAATATCAATGTATGATAAAATTATACCAGTACGAAAAAAAAAAAAAAAAAAAGCTAGCTTAAATGTGCAGGCGAGAAAGAGCAACGGAGTGTACGCGCGAGAGGGAGGGAGATAGAGTGAGTGAGTGACTGGCTGAATGAGTGAATTAGTGAGTGCATGAGCGAGACGAGCAGCGTGCCCACATGCGCAACCCCATCGATGCGCCCACCTGAGCGACTGCTTTTCACTCCCACCGTTATTCCCCCGTATTGTCTGTGTTTTTTTTTTTTTTTTTTTTTTTTCCCCCACACCTTTCTTCAGCCCAAGATAGATGTATACATTTTATGAACACGTGCATGTGAAATGTGTTATGAGTTGTATATTCTGTTTGTGTGTGTGTGAGGGGAGGAGCAACTTTTTTTTTATATTTTTTTATACGTATTTATTTGGTGAAAAAACACTGGCTTTTATTTTTTTGTTTTATTTCTTAACCCCACTGTCGGAAGAGAGCATTGTTTTTCTTTTTCACGTGACCGTTTCGTACTTGTGTTGTTTATGCTTCCCTGATGCGTTCGCCCCGATCACCGCAGGCAGCAAAGCTGAATTGGCCTTCATCTAGGGCGCTAACCAGATCGCTTACCCACAGTATGGTATTTGCCCCTACATTGTGTTATACCTCTTGTGAGGCGTTTGCCTTGTACGTGTTTACACGCTTCAGTGTGCTTCGTTGCATTGCGTTGCATTGCGTTACGTTGCGTGGAGAGTTGTGAACCTCCAAGTGGAGTGAATATAGAGTTGGTGGGGGTAGGCGGCGTGAGCACATTCTCATTCGTATGGTACATCGGTGCACCACTCATGAGGTGGCCCCGTTGCCCCTTCCTTTTCATTCATGCTTGCTTTGTTATTGCACTTCTCACATTTTCCTCCTCACCCCCCCCCCTTCCTTTCTCACCCACCTCTTGGTAGTAATTCTATCACGTGTAAATATGACCACAATAAGGTTAGTACTTTTTAAAGGCACGTTGGAATGAACCAGCTGTGGGAGGGTGTTGTTGTTCCCGTCCATCTGTTCAATATCCTCACCTTGTGTCTTTTTCATGTCGTGCCATTTTTTATTACCCATCGCCAGCACATGTATGAGTGGGAGAGTGTACGTGTGGACACGCAACGTCGTTCTCATGCAACGTCGTACCACTTGTAACTTCGTACCGCATGCAAATTCGTACATATGCAAACTCGTTCACATGAACTGGGTGCCCAATGACGAGAGTCACTTCCTCCCACTCCCCCCCGCCCCTATACATATATAAATCCATCATTAACATATTTTTTTTTTTCTTTTTTTTTTTTTTTTTCTTTCCCCCATGCTGTGTAAATACATGTGATATTATAAAGCAGTTGGTTTTCCATTAGGAGCATTAATGAGTTGCCACAATGACCTTTTTACATTAGTGGAGGGCATGCAGTGAATTATCATCACAAGATTTGCTTCCGGAAAAATTTTAAAAAAAGGGAAAACAAACTACCAGAGTCAGTGCCACGTTCGTTATAAAATTTTCAAGCTAGCTGTCAGTTGTGTATAACCTTCCTTCCATACCAAAATTTTTTGCATGCTACCTTCACATGTATAATGTAAATTTTGAAGTGGTTAACTTTTTATTGCAGTTTTGTTTTCCGTCGTTTTTGTGCCATGTCCCCTAGTCGGGGTGGAGTGTGCGTGCCACATATGTGTCGGAGTTAGCGGTGAGAGGGGGAGAGAGTGCTCACGTGGTTCAGGTCACCAAAGCACGTGCGGTATACATGTGTATCCACGTGCGTGTGCCTTTTTTTTTTTTTTTTTTTTTTTTTTTCTCCTTCCGGTAGGCCACTTTTTACAAGAAATTTGGTTGTGACCGCGCCATAGCACAAATACACATCACTGTGTCCTTACATGCACACGCGGTAGGCAACCGGTCTGGCAGTTGCTTGTGCAACAATCGTCCTTGCAGTCGTCTTCATAGCCTGCTGACTTTTCACATCCATTTCGTAACAATTTGCCTGTACACTTTGCACTCCTCCCCTCCTCCCGTGCGAGTACCATTTTAACCCCTTTTCTTTTTTTTTTTTTTAAAATCAACTCGAACTGGACCCACAAGCGAGGACTCCAAAGCGGCCTCGTAAATGGAGGACCCTCGTTTGGGGCCACAAAAACGTGCGAATTAAGACATACGACAATTGAACCACGCAGTGGAAGCGGCCCGCCCGAAATGACTGGGACGGATTCAACCCCGCAGGTGGGCATAAAAAAAAAAGTTAGCGTAAAAGTCAGCGCAAATGATAGCATATAAAAAGGATGTTAACAAAAAAGATCGCCTAAAAGTCGGTGGAAAAACAGTTCGCCACCAATAGGCACTGCAAATTGGTCCAAAAAAACGAAGCCAATCGTTGCAGCAAATGGACACGCAAAGGAATTTCAAAATGGCTAGCTGCCTGAACAGGCCATATTTTTTTTTTTTTTTTTTGGAAAATTTACAAACTCTTTCTAAATTTGGCTGACTTTTTTTTTTTTTTTTTTTTGGCTAGCCATTTGTGAAATTTTTTTTTTTCTGTTAACCCGTTATATATTACCCCTTCGGGGGGGTGAAAACAGCAGGGCTCAGCGTCGGGAGGTCTTACCTATGGACCTCTTGCCCGAAAACAAGTGTCTTGGTTTCTTCGCGGGGATGGAGCGGTCGGCCTCTCCCTTGGTTCCCTTTTCGATTTTCCTGTACGCAGCTTTGTTCAGCTTGTAGGCCTTTTTCCTCTGCAACTCTGTTGATGTGCTCTGGAAAATCTTGGACTTTTTGGTTGGATCTCCATAGACGTTATCCTTAATTTGTTTCTTCTTGTAAATGTCCTTTTTCACTTTCTGTGCGTTGAGGAGGCTTTTGGTAGATCTCTTGGACGAGCCACTATCCTTGGCCGCTGCGTTTAGTGTGCCTTTTTTCCTGGCCCGCTCGGTCATACTCCTGAGTATTTTTTCTTTGTCCAAATTGAGGCTATCCAATTTTTTGCTCATCTCATCAATTGTTTTGTTTTTCTTATGATAAATGGGTTGCTTCTCTTCATTTAATTTTGCATTGAGTTTCAGTCCCTTCAGTCGGAGGGCCATGCGCTCCAAAATTCTTTTTGTTTTAAACCACATGGGGTCGATTTCTGCGTCTTCATCGAACAACTCCTGTTCTTCCTTTTCCAACTCTAGTAACTTTTGTTCTATGTCCAAGTCCACAAAATCGCTGATATTTTTTCCGTTGTATATTTCAGGGATTACATCATATTTGTATTCTTCCTTTATGTCGTACACGCTTCTCACGTCGACTGAGTAGACCCCCGCACCTCCTCGCTCGTTTTGTAGGTCAATTTGCAGGACGCGATCATCCTTGCGGTTGCTCAGGTAGCTCTGCCTGGACTTGTTTTTCTTCTTGAGCTTGGCTTCACGCATGGTGAGGGAAACTGCGTTTGCATCGTCGTCAACCATGTTCCCCTCGCTTGTAGACACTGCCGCTACACCCTCCATTCCTTGCACCGCCTTGGCGGCCCTCTCTCGCTCCTCCCTTTCCCTCCTCTCCTGGCGTTCCCTAATGACGGACTCTGGAATGAAAGGGGCGCGCTCCTGATTGACCTTGCGTTCACCCAACTTGGCGTTGAGTAAATTTTCCCGATCCAGCTGGAACTCAGCAGCCTGGTCACTTTTAAGCATATCACAAGCAACCCCTTTTGCTTCCTCCACACCTACCCCAGTGAGTGTACTGAAGGAGCAAAACTTCACAGGCACCTTAGCATCATCAGTCATTTGTTTAATAAGCATTTTATTATCCACTGATAGACTGTCCAGGTTGGTGTTATCAATTTTGTTGAATCCAATTACAACTGACTTATTCCTAAAGAGAGTTCTAATAGAATGAAAAAGATTAACTTGTTCCTTAATAGACATTCCGCACTCCTCACTAATATCAATTATGAAAAGAATAACTCCATTTATATGTGCTAGTGCAGTGATGGTGGTCATTTCTATGGTGTTCCTATTCTCCAGCGACCGATCTAACAATCCTGGTGTGTCAATTATTTGAAATCTGTTCAAATTATAATCAAAATGCCCTACGTATAAATTAGTCGTGGTGAAGGAATAAGGTTGCACTTCCACATTGGCTCGAGAGACAATATTAATAAATGAAGACTTTCCTACATTGGGGGCACCAGCTAATAGAATGGTTTTCTTATGAGGGTTTATAGATGGGAGCCGGGTTAAGTTTTGTCTTACTTCTTCCAAGTAAACTAAACTGGGTTGCAACTTCTTCACCATTTTACACATACGTCCTAGAGCACTAATTTTTAACATTTTACATTTGTACAAAGAGGAACTGAACTTTAGTAATTTTATATAGTCCTGACAAATGCGCTTCACCGACTTGACCACGTAACTACATTGTCCTAGTGCTAACTTATAATGATCCCTGTCGTATAATATGTTGGCCAAATCTGCATAAAAGGGGTGTATATCGTCTAGCTTAGGGAAATCATTAATTGTGGTTTGTAACTTTTCTCTGAAGAGTTCCTGGCACATTTTTACTTTCCTCATGTAGAAATTTCGAATTCTCGTTATTTTGAATCCCTTGTGGATTTCTGTGGGCGTTTTTCTCTGCGTCCTCGAGAGCACCACGTCTACCAACTCCTTCGCGTTCACCACCGGCTTGATGTCCTTGAACCTGTACAGGCTGGACTCCTTCATCTTGGCCGGTAAAAGGGGTTCAGCGGGGAAAGAGCAGTAATGCGGGGGGCCGCAAATTTTAAAAAAAGTCAAATAATATACAACGGTCAGGCAAAATGCCTGCCTTTTTTTTGCTCAACTTGAGAACAACAAAAAGTCACAACGCCGTAATGTCGCGAAACGGTTTGCTGAACCAATCGAGTAGTCATTAGTCATGTTCTCCTCTTTTTTTTCTCAGATTGCGCGAAAAGCGTAAAAGAAAAAAGGGGGAACACGTTGCCTTTCTCCACTGCAAAGTGGGGAGAATATTATTATTTAAAAAAAAAAAAGAAAAAAAAAAAAAAAAAAAAATTGTCAAGGGAATACCTTTCTTCAACCACAAAAATGATGGACGCACGTTGGTATGTTTTATTTTCCGTTTCTACAAAGTAGGCCGTAGCCGTAAGCCGCCACAAAAAAAAAAAAAAAATGGGGGACACAAGGGCGCTTTTTGGCACCTCGAGGCGGCATTGACCTCGCGATGTAGGCGACCTGCTCACAAAAGAGCAAGCCTAGCCCATGGTGTCGCCGCATTGTACCATATGCATATGTTTTATAAAAGGCACTACACGGGGTATGCGCGTTTTTTTTTCTTTATTTTACTGCTCCCCCCTTCTGCATGCAAATCGCGCCGCTGGACTTACTTCATATTGGGAAAGGCGGAGACAATTTGAAGTGGGGTAGAGCGAGAAGCCCCGAGTTGCACGCAATTGGCCAAGCAGAGCGCCACCCGGCCTGTTGAGGCAACTTTATTTGTTCCTGCTTTTTTTTTTTTTTTTTTTTGTTGCCCCATACGTGCCAACAAGAAGCAATCGGAGTGGAAAATAAACGGAAGCTCCTGAAAAAAAAAAAAAAGCAGGGCGGCCAATTGAACAAAAGGAAAATGAACTAAAAAAAAAAAAATACGACAAAAATCCAGCGCAAATACAGTTTTAATTGAACTGGACCAACTGCGCAAAGTTTTGTTTTTACCCCATGGGAAACGGCGACCAGGGAATGGGCGTGCAGGAAAAAAAATTATGGAATAGAAGGAAGGACTAAACAACGGCTTTTATATCAACCCCAATTAACCATTTTTGCAACTCTGTAATTCTGCAGAAAGGGTACAAGTTGGGGGATCCTCTTTTTTTTTTTTTTTTTTTTTTGGAAAAACGCAAAACCACGAGGAAGGCGCCCTATATGCATATGGGTGAGAAACAGCAGGACGGGCAACTCTTCAAAAATATATATAAAAAAAAAAAAAAAAAAACTTAACCGCGAAAGTGTGGTAAACTACTATAATTAATACCACGTTGGTGAGTTTTTTTTTTTTTGTTATACATTTTTGAAGAGTTGCCCAACCCGTGCTACAAGCAGGCACAAGTAGGCACAAGTAGGCACAAGCAGGAACAAGCAGGAACAAGCAGGAACAAGCAGGCGAATGAGAACCCTACCGTCCTTTCTTCGCCCTTAAAAGTAACCCTTTTTTTTTTTTTTTTTTCATGTGGCTCCGTGGCACCTTCATCTGCCCGGGGAAAGACACACACGCGCGGCTGAAAGTGGAGCTGGGGAAGCATCATGCGAAAGCCTGCCTAGGGGGGGGTGTAGTTGTGGATTGTACGTGTGAGTATGCAATGCGCCTGTTTGTATAAAGCTGGGGGTACATGTGCGCGCACCTCGAAAGAAAAAAGAAGCTGACGCATGGGGAAAAAAAAAAAAAAAAAAAAAAAAAAAAAACTGGTGACATGAAAGAGGTCTAGAGCGGAAGAAGAGAAAATGAAGATGGGGCAATTTTCCTTTGTTAGACTTCTCCTTTTGTTGAGTCTCTTAGTGCAGCGCCTGCCAGTGCAGAAGCAGCAGCAGAGTTCGATTCCAACGCGCAAGTACCTCGATGAAGGAGACCACCCCCCCCAAAACGCCTTCGCCCACGTGGCGAATCAAATGAAAGGGGGGACATGTGACTTTTCCACGGAACCCCTTCATGTTTCAAGTAGTGAGAATGAGATAGTGGCAGGGGTTAATGGAGGCGATGGCCTCCCCGGTGACAGTCGAGATGAACGAGTTCAACACTGTGTACAGTTCACTAAAGGATTGGAAGTGCTCACGTTCGTGTGCCCCAAGAGGAACACCGAGGACTACGCCGGAGTGGAAATCAGACCCATGGACTGTTTTGAGACTGTGCGAATGCCAAATGGAAATAAAAAAAAATTAAGTGAAGTGTTAAAAGGAGTCGAGCTGGAAAATCGGGATAGCGACTTGCTAAGCATTAGAAGAGTTTTCATCCCACCAACCATTTACCAGAATATTATTTTCGAGTGTTCATGTGATAATAGCTTAACGTTTTGGAAGCACAAGATGGGTGCCAGGGGTATCATGCGCGTGCACGTCAGGAAGAATGTCGTATGGGGATGCGACTTTGATCACACACCGGGGGAGGAACCTACACGAGATGCAGGGGGAGACCAGGCGATTACACGCGTAACGGGTGATTGGCTAAGCGGTGACTGGCTAAGCGGCGACTGGCTAAACAGCGACTGGGCTGTTGGTGACTGGGCCTTGTGGCGGAACTCCGGACCCAGTGCAGAACAACTCGTGGAGCGAAACAGAACGCCCTTTTCAAACTTCTACACCCCTGCACAAGTAAACGACGCCAAGGACAAGGGCATCGTGTGTAACGTAAAAATAAAAAAGAAAAAAGTGTATTTGGGGTTGGTGTGCCCCCCTGGTTATGAGGTGTACCCTTCTAATTGCTTCGAACGAGTCCTTCACAAGGATAGTATTGTGAGAATGAGTGAGTTAATTCAACACCATGTTACTTTTCATGTGGACAGCAGCAGGAGGATGTCCTTTGCACATTTTATTCTTAACAAAAATGAAAACCCTGCTGGGTTCAGCTGCCTTTGTGTTAGCGTGCACTCCCCCGAGGCACCTCCCCTGAGAGCAAACTTTGTGTATCGAAACTACGAGTCGTTTGGAGGTCACTTTGGTTTGCTCTACGTGCTGGTTGTACTCCTCCTGCTGGTGTTGAGCCTGTGAGAGGGAGAGAACCACGCG